CTCCGTTTCCCCTTTTGAAAAGTGGAGCTATCTTCCTTTTTTGTTGCTTGGTATTTAGAAGATGTGGAACAAGCTGACTGATGTGTCCTCAAGCCCCCTCCTCTACTTCCCATTCACCTCTCCCCAACACCAAGCAGCCCATACCCCCACCACCAGCTCTGCTGGAAACATGGGGCTGTGGCTCATTTGCAGGGCTGTGGGAATGCATGCACTGCTTACCTGAGACCTTCCAGCCCCACTTCTCCTTTCAGTGGCTCCTACCCATGAAGGTAGCATGCCCCACCTGCTCCTGACAACCTCTGCCCCTCCCCCTGTGGGCTTTCACCAGCTCCTTACCCCAACCCCAACCTCTCCCCACAAGGAAGGTTGTGTAGGGACCACAATACCTTAGCCCCAGTGCTGTGCTGTAAAGCCCAGAATTATGTAACAGCTGGATTAACAGCGATTATTAGATTTGCTTAAAGATTTTCTGTTTACACAAGGATTAGTGCGGGGTTCCTTTAAATAGCCAGCTTTGCTAATGCATTCATACTGCAAAGAAAGGGTGCAATGGGGGCAGGGGGGAGGGGACAGGACTAGGAAGCAGAAGGCCTGAGTTCTAAGCCAGCTGTGGGATGGGCATTTTACCTCTCGGAGTCTCCGTTTCCTTGTTGGAGAAAGGGAGAGGCGGCTGCCCTGCTCAGCCCGCCGCCCCGTTGACGGCGGGGACCCCGAAGGCGGTGTGTAACCAGCTGCCCTGCAGATCCCAGGTGGCCGCTCCACCGGCATGGCCTTTGTGCGTGGGGGGGGGGGGGGCGCAGACCAGCACCGCAGGGCGTGGGGTGTGATGCGGCGAGCCCCGCAGACGCTCCAGGATTGCTGCGAGCCAGCCCTGCAGACGTTCCAGCGCCCAAACCCCTTCAGGTAGCACCCAGGACTGGAACTGGCGCCTGCCCACCTCTCCATCCGGATCTCCTGCTCTGCCCTCACCTGCGGCCTCCCTGGCCCCGCCCCGTGCCACACACCTCTGTCCCTGACTCCCCAGGTGTTCTTCCCTGGATATGCACTGCAGCTTCCCACCTCTGTGACTTGGACGTGCTGGCCCTGTGCTGCCTGGGAAGCCATTCCACACCTGCTCCCCTACTGGCCTGGCTAACACCTCACTTGCCCTTCAAAACCGCCTAGATGGCGCCTCCCCCAGGAAGCCTTCCCGGACCCTCCTTCCTTAAAGAGAGCTAGACACCCCTTCTCTCTGCTTCGGAGAGTTCCCTGAATGTGAGTGTGTGACTCTGTCATCACACTTGTGAACACGTTATTGCCATCGTTCACTTGTTTGTGTCTGCCATGAGCTTCCGAGCTTAGGGGCAGAATCCCTGTTGTGTTCCGCTCAGTAAATGTGTGGTAAAGGAAATCAAATAAACAAGTAGCAACTACTTTTTATATGAGGCAAATGAGGGGGGGCGGGCGCCTGCCTGGCTTAGTCGCTAGAGCATGTGACTCTTGATCTCAAGGTCATGAGCTGGAGCCCCATGTATGGGGCAGAGATTACTGAAAAAAATTTAAAAAAAAAAAAAATATATATATATATATGAGGTAAATGTGCTTCATCCCCAGGCACATAAAGCCCCTGTCATGCCCACCCCGGGAAGCATATCGCTCGTCCTTCAGGGTGTTAGACAACAGGAGTCCAAATAAATACTGGCTCTACCCCAGCTGTGTGACCAAAATTCCTTTGCCCCTCAGTTTCCCCATCTGTAAAATGGGATCGTCGCGGTTCTAACCTCTTAGGGTTGCTGCGAACAGGAAGCAAGTCAATATGTGTGCTGCACTTAGTGCCTGGACGTAGCTCCGTGTTTGACGGTGGGTTTTCGTATCAGGCCCTGGAATTCTGCCCCTCCGGATCCTTCCCCAGGCCCCCAGTATCCCCAGGTTGCTGAGCTTGCTGTTTCACTTTTTCCTCACTCCTGTGAACTTTCTCACTTCCCTACCCACCCCAACCACTCAGCACAGAAATAATCCAATTTTACTTGATTATTAATCATTACATTCTGCTGCTGTTTTTGTTTATTACTTTTTTTTTAACCATTCTAGATTTAATTGAGTTGATTGATTAGCACAATCACTGACTGGAAGGAGATACTCTGTAACCCTCTCCTCCCCCAGCCTGTATTTTACCCCAGAGAGGACCAGGGCTGACTGCTGGGGTCCAGGGCTCAGCCCCTTTCAGGGCTTCTGCTCAGAGTTGCAGTGGCATGGCTTGGTGGGCTGGGAGCCAAGCACCTGACCTTGTCTGGCTAAGTGACCTGGGGTGCGTTCCTTACCCTCTCTGAGCCTGAGGTTTTTCATCTATAAAAAGGGGATTGAACTGAAATGAGCCTTCTGATCCCTTCCCACCCTAAAATTCTGTGAAAACTCTACGTCTAAGCTCCCTGCTCATCCCCGGTCTGTGACTCATTAATTCATGTATTCAGCATCACTGAGAGCCCCCTCTAGACCCAGCCCTAAGCCAGGTATTGTGGGATCCAGATGTGAGCAAGGCGAGGGTCCTGCCTTCTAGGATCTAAGGGGGGAAGCCCAACAAGCAGCAAGCCTAGTGTTTATAACTGTGTCCTACGTTGAGCAGGGTTTCAGAAGGGAGTCCCTGACTCTGGAAAGTCGTAGAGGGTTGACATGTGGGTTCAGTCCAAAACAAAAACAAATCATAAAAAACAAAACTGAATAGATCAGTTCGAGGAAGGGACCTTTATGGAGGGCCCCTGTGTGTCAAGTACTGTGCTGAACACTTTCTTCTCCTTTTCTCTTTAATCTTCATACCAGCCCTCTGAATAAGGGAATGTGATAACAGTTTTACAGATGAAACTGCTGAAGCTCAGAGACGCTAAGTGGCTCACCTGAAATCGCACAGCAAGAGAGTGGGAGAAGTAGACATTGAAATGAGTATGAATGACATCAAAGAGGATAGACATATCCTCTTCATACAGTTTCACACCATGTTACAATATTCAGTAATTTGAGAAAGGTTAAAAAAAAGTTGAGCTAATTTTCCCAAATAGCACTTCTCCCTTTTCATTTTTGCACATTATTTTCCATGTATACCCTTTTTATATTGCCTACATGGGTAGCTTGTACAAAGGCCCTGAGGTAGTAATGCCCTTGGAGTATTTGGGGAAGAGAAGGAGGTCCATGGGGCTGGAACGAGGGGAGAAGAGTGGAAGGTGGAGTTGGAAGGGAGCCAGGGCTAGCTCAAGGGGGGCTTCGCAGACCAGAGTTGGGCCTGGATTTTATTCTCAACATGTTCTGCCATTGTCTTCCAATTCCTCTTGTATCAACAGCTCTGCAATTTAGCCCAGTGGATGTGGCATTATTTACCAATATTGAAGCTGTTTCCAGTGGGGTTTGTATGTGTATGCACGTGTGTGCGCACGTGTGTGTGTGTGTTTGTGTGTGTGTGTTGGAAGTAAATACTACAGGTCACATTTCAGGCATGTGACTTTTGGCATCTGACGAATGATCGGAGTCTAAATCGGTAGGAATGAGGTAACTGGTTCAGTGTTTGATCATTTGTGTGGCTCTCGGCCCACAAGGCCACACTGTGACCTCTGACTGGAGAGAGGACAAGGTGTTCCAGGCGGTGGACTCGCGTGCGTGGAGGAGCAGAGCTAAGGAAGAGCCAGGCTTGTTCAGAGGCTTCTGGCCGTGAGGCAGGGAGCCAGGGGTCGGGAGGTAGATGCCTCCTGAAAACAGGTCGGCATGCATGGCCTTTCACCTTCTCTTCAAGAGGCAGAGTTGGCGCTTTTACAGTTTTTATCAATTTTTAAAAACTTCTTATTAGACTAATTTGGCATTTACAGAAAACTCCCAGAGCTAGTGCAGCGAGTTCCTCTGCGTACTCCTGTGGTTTTGCTGCTCGCTCATCGCTTACATTACCCTGGTGCATCTGTCCCAATGAAGAGACTGACATTGCTACGTGCCCGTTAACTACACTCTGTATTTTATCCAGATTTGAGTCCCTTTCCCACTGATGCCCTCTCTCTCTTCCAGGATCCAGCCCACAGTCCTCTGCATTTGCATTTGCACTGCATTTGGTTGTCCTGTGTCTTTAATCTCCCCTGGTCTGTGACCGTGTGTCAGACCTTCCTTAGTTTTCGTGACCTTGACAGTTTGGACGCATGCTGGTCAGATATTCTGCCTTTGTATTTTTAAACTTTCTGTTTCCATTTGGAATCCTGATGTTGAGAGGCCGTGACATGTGGAGATCAAGCTCAGAACTCAGGAGTCCGAGGGGCCTGGGATCATCACCTCTGACCCCGACCCATGAAGCAACATTTAACAAGGAAACCTGCCCTTACAGGAGGGATGAGAATACTTACTGCCAGGGGCCTGATGAAGGTTAACTGGGTAGACGAGTAAAGTCCTCGTCAGCTGGGTTTCAGTTTCAGTTTCATTAGTGGGTGGGCACCTGGTGGGACTGATTGTCCAGAAGACCTTGGTCACTTCCTCTCCAGGAGCCAGTTGTGAAATGCCACAGGGTGTGACAACTTTGCAGGAGGCTGACACTTTGCAAAGGTTTTGAAAGTAATATCTTAATTTGATCCTTATCATAACTCCATGAGGCAGCAAAGATGGGTTTTCCCTGCTTTCGAGATGCAGAAACTGAGGCTCAGAAGGTCATCAGGAACCTGCTGAAGGTCATGGAGGAAGGAAGGGGCAGAGGAGAGACTTGAACGTGGACTTGGGAGGGCCAATATTTGATGCTCCTCCCAGTGTAGCCTGGCTGAGCCGGCCAGCGGCTGGGCAGGCAGCTGTCAGCGGGTGTGCGTGGAGAAGCCCTGCTCTTGGGATCCTGGGCTGGAGGGGTTCTGTCTTTGGGGGCCGGAGGACTGGCATTTGGCTCGGCAGACGCATCAGGGCGGGGGACTGGAGAGTTATGGATTCCCAGTCTTTACATGTCATATTGATCTCAGGCCATTGTATTATAGGCAGTGTTTCATTTTGTAATGTGCATTTCTTTTTTTCTTTAGGTGATTTCATTTTTAACCCTTGAGTTACCTGTGAAACCAGCATGAGCCAAAAGCTCGTGACTGGCGTCCTGCTTCCCAGGTAAATCTCAGGACCAGTTAGTCCAGCTTTCTTCCACAGGGCCCCTGTGTCACCCCCTGTATCATATGTCCTCAGGCCTCTCTGGCAGATGGCTAAAGCTGTCTCCATTTCCCTGGAAGGGAAATAGAATGACTGAGCCCAGAGAAGGCAAGTAACTGTCTCAGGGACACACAGCCTCAGAGCTGGGGCAGAAGCCAGACCAGTTAGTCACTGGATTTTTTCTACCAGACATAGTAAGAACTCAGAAGACCCTTGTGCGGTTTATTTAAAAACAAAAACAAAAACAAACCCAGAAATGTAAACTATAAAAATGCAATTCTACCCTTGAGAGGCGTATTTGTGTGCGTGCATGTGTGTGTGTGTGTGTGTGTGAGAGAGAGAGAGAGATAAGGAAAAAAAAATAGAAAGCAATTTTGGCACCTAGGCCAAAAAACCAAAATTTACTCTTAATTCCACCAAGGCACACAGAGGTTGGAGGGGTGGGTAGTCCTTTCCAAAGGGGCACCCCCCGGGCTTGTAGCTGCCATTTCTTTGATATGGGGGGTTCCCATCCCATCCACTTTGAACTTTCTACATTCAAGGCTCACAGCCCCCCATGCCCAGCTCTGCACACAGATGACGTGGCCCTGGTAATTCTGCTGCTTCTAAGTGACATCTCTCCCGCCTGTCCCCCGTCACCCAGTCACGGCCAGGTGTTCAGATTTCTGAACAGCCGAGTGTCTTCTGGAGCAGGCTGTATTCACCTGCTGGTCCTGGTGGCCGGCCTTGATCTTTGTAGGGGTGGGGGTGCCCGGAGTGGCTGAATTCCCAGACGTGTGTGGGGATGGATTAGAGATCAAGGCACGACCCTTCAGCGGGACATAGAAGCTGTGTGCCTCAACATCTGTGTGCCTCGATGGATTTTCCCATCTGTAAAATGGGACTAAAACTCCAGAGCTACTGTGAGGATTAAATAAGCTTCTGTGTGCAAACCGCTTTGCATGTTGTAAGTGCTTAGCTAGAAAGGAAATTCAGTGTTTGGATTCCACTAAATCATACAGCAGCATTACTGTCCTTTTGTGTTTTTCTCCAAGGGGCTTCCATGTCTGTTTTCTCACTGAGTCTTTACAACAACCCAAGAGAAGAGAGTAGTTTTGTTGGACACAGTTAACCAGTGTGGCAGCTGAAGTGCAGACAAGTGTAATGCATTCATTAAAACAGTGGGGGCGCCGAGGCCTGAGTCAGAGGTCCGGGGGTGGGGGGGAAGCTGGCTAGGCTAGCTGTGTCCTGGTCTGGCCCGCCTGCCAGCAGACCCTGCCCCTCCAATCTCCACTCACGAGGACCTTTCTTCTCCTCCTCCCCCCTCCCCTCCCCAAGAGCAGCTGTGTTCCCCAGGCCTGACCGAGAGCCCCACCAATCCCGTCTGGTGCTGGCGGGGGGCGCTCCACCTCTCAAGCCAGTGGCAGGGCTCGTGTCATTGCCGGCAGCATCTTGGGGGGATGAAGGTTGCATTAGTGAGCAGTGATTGAAATGCAAAATAACATTTTGATCGAGCCAGCAGGCTGTTTATTTATCAGATCAATAGTCAAACTGCCCCATCTGGAGAAGTCCTGTGTGATAAGTGACAGGGGTTCCAAGGGCAAGCCTGGTGAGTCCACCCCGGACCCCCATCTGCTCAGATGATGGGAGGGCTAAGGAGCCTGCGAGTGACCACCCCCGCCTCTGCTTTCCCCTTTCCTCATTTTCTTCTTATATATCCAGTTCCTAGAAGAGAAGTCTGAGACCCACGTTGTCAGACACCCCCCCCCCCCGCTCTTGCTGGGCCTGGAAGGACCCGTACCCAGAAGAGCCGAGGAATCATAGCAGTAGCTTGTGTTTATTGAGCACTTACTGTATGAGGTTGGGGTGTGGCCGTGAACCCTTCGCTCTTGTACAGAATCAGGGTTCTGGCTCTGAAGTCAAGGCAAGCTTTTGCCAACCCTCCTTCTTACAGGTTTTCATACATGACATTGATTTTTGTTTTGTTTTGTTTTAAAGATTTTATTTATTTATTTGACAGAGAGAGACACAGCGAGAGAGGGAACACAAGCGGTGGGGAGGGAGAGGGAGAAGTAGACTCCCCGCCAGGCAGGGAGCCCGACTCGGGACTCGATCCCAGGACCGTGGGATCATGACCTGAGCCGAAGGCAGACGCTTAACGACTGAGCCACCCAGGTGCCCCTGACATTGATATATATATATATATATATATATATGTATTTTAATATTTTGAAACCAGATTTCTCAATTAGTGGGTCTGAGATGTTAGCTGTTCCTTCTAAACACATCACATGATTTTGGGTACTTAAAAAAAACACACACAAAGTAAGAAAAATCCATACATCATTCGTAAAGCCTTTAAACCGGGATTAGCGGAGTTCGATGGGCACTGAGGGCAAGGTTGACCCTTTAGCTCCTTTCACTGGGGATTGTTGGACCTGGCTGTCTGGGCTCTGCTCTCACAGCACTAGCTGGATTCCTGTCCTGTGGCTCAGGCCCGGGACTGTCCCACCCTGAGAGGGTGCTGGGCTTGGGGACTCCTACCCCACCCAACTCTCAGACCTCGTTCATTTGTTCACTCAACCAGTGTTTATGGAGCCTTGTGCCTGGAGTGTTCTAGACAGAGGGAACAGCAGGAAAGGAAGAACAAGGGTCAGAGGCCATGCGGTGGGAGCACAGTGGTGTTGTCAAGAGACAGCCAGGAGGCCAGTGTGGCTGGCCCAGAGTGGGCACGGGGCAGAGCGGGCAGGGGACAGCATCTTTGGTGGTGGGGTCGGACCCTGGGGGCCTTCTGAGCTGCTGGGGTGAGGACTCCTGCTTTCCTGGCAGTGGGATGGGAAGCCCTGGCTGTTTTGAGCAGAGGAGTATTGTGACTTACTTACTCCCTTTTGCTTTGTAACTCACTCCAGCACTTTCTGGCCCTGTGACCCCTGCCAAGATAGTCAGCCCCTCTGCAAAATGGGGAAAACGATAGTACCTACCTCAGTAGGTTGTTGCAAGGGGCGTAATGCATGCGGTCCCGTGCCCAGCACGGAGTAAGCCCTTGGCAGGTGCGCACTGTCGTCCGCATTACAGAGGTCAGAAGCAGGTTCCCAGTTGGCTTCAGTGCCAGGCCCCCGCCTGTCCGGCTGAGTTAAGACGTTTCTTTGTCATCTGCTCCTTAGCACAGAGACTGAAAAATTGAGTCTGGAAGAGGAAAGGGTGCGGGGAGCCCCAAGTCTCCTGTGTCATCCCCGCTGTGCCCAAGGCCACATGGGAAGGCCCACTGCCTTGGCCAGGTGGTGGAAGGAAGCGTTGTCCCCCTCACTGGGTCGGCACACTGCCCCGCAGGAACACACGTGGGGAAGTGGGACTTAGGCCCAGCAACGGTACGCACAAACCAGACCCAGGTGTGTGATTGCACAAGGAGCAGAGGGGAGGTCAGCAGTGTGAGCCACGCACCTTGCATGTTCATTCAGTCCTAGGTTGCATCAACAGAGGTATAGTGTCTAAGATGAGAAGGGTGTCAGTACTGCTCTACTCTGTGCCTATCAGAATGTACCTGGAAGGCTGGGCTCCGTTCTGATGTTCCTCTTTGTGAGGAGTAAACAGAGCAGAGGAATTACTCTCCAAGGAGGACAAAGTGAGCAGGAGTGATTCCAGGACTAGGGGAGGCTGAGCCTCATAAGGACAGGGCTTCCCAGGGAGCAGGAAGCCGCCGTCAACAATCCAGGGGGCTGTCGTATGGAAGAGGGGGTCAGACTTGTTCTGTAGGTCCTGAGAGAGTTGCATGAACTATAACTGGAAGAAGAAGCCAGAGAGAAGAAATATTTTGGCTCTTGACAAATAATTTTTTTTAAAATACACTCCCGAGTGGTGGGAGGATGAGATAGCTGCCTCCTGAACTAGGGATCTCCTCATCCCTGGGGTCTTTAGTGAAGGCAGGCAGCCAGGGACAGATCAGAGGCCCTTTGAGGTCCTGGCCTGCTCCGAATGTGTCTGGCTGGAAGAGGGCCCTGCCTGCCTCCCCCACCGCCGCCGCCGCCTCCCACACAGCGCTTTCCCCGAGTGCCTCCCTCCCTCTCTTTCTGCAGGCTCTGCTTAAATGTCACCTCCTCTGAGAAGCCTTCTTTGGCCGCGCTACCTGGCACTGCCCTCGTCTTACCATCTGTCCCCTTCCCCTGCCCCGATCACTACCTGAATGTGTACTATTTTGGTTGTTTCCTTACTGTATTAGTTAGGGTTGCTAACACTAGCTATTATTATGTACAACCCCAGTGTTTCAGTGGCTTAACACAGCAGAAGTTTCCAGCTTGCGCATGTGACATTTTGGGGAGGGCATTTGACAGGTAGCAAGCATTTCATGAGGTTATTCATGGGCCCTGGCTCCTTCCAGTTTGTGGCTCCGCCATCCCCCGGGGCCCTGGGACCCCCTCCTGGGCCCTCTGCCTGGATCCTGTGTGGCCACCGATGGGGGACGACAGAGCAGGGGGTGCAGGGCGGGGAGTACCATGGGAGATTTTGATGGGCCAGTTGGGGAAGTGGCTAACATCATTTTGCCCACATGCCATTCGCCAGGACTTAGTTGATGGCCGCAGCTCACCGAAAAGGAGGCTGGGAAATGTAGTCTCTCTGACGTTTAGGAAGAAATGAAATTGCTTTTGGTGAACTCATAGCAGTCTCAGCTACGCTTATTTATCATATTCCATTGAATCCATGTCATCATCTATTGTTAAAGGCACCATTATTCTTGGAACCACTAATCAAATTAAACTATAGCATTCCATCGATTCAAGATGCATTCTGATTGCCAAGACGTTGAAATATGAAAAGATGGTGTAGCTCAAGGTCAATGAAGTATGGTATTGTCACTCGTTGAGGGCAGGAACCTGTCCACCTTGTGCACTAATCCATCCCCAGGGCTAGGATAGTGGCTGGCACCCAGTAGATCTCCAAGGAGTAGTAATGGAGTGACAGCAAAGGAGTAGGTGAATGGATGAGAT